ACTTTTTGTGGCATGGTTATGGATAATGTAGGGGAGGAGTCCTCTCTGGGTAGTAAGAAAGCTGAGATGCTGCAATAGTGGAGTTACAGTGATAATATGCATCAAGTGCATCGTTGTCAGTCACAGTTGTGGTGTCTTATCCAAATACACTGAATATATGCAGATTATTTCAGTGGTTCATGCAGCTGTGAGGGTTTGCATCCTGTGTGTGCCTGAATGCAGGACCTGTGGGTTCAGCACCAGGAGCAGCTTGGCATGCCAGAGTGGGTTTGAGTGAGGAGGGCGAGAGGGGCAGCTCAGCTCCGTTGTGTTTTGGTTTTCCTGCCCAGGAGAAGACAAACTTTTCCAGGGTTTCTTCCTTCCTTTGCAAAGAAGGAAAGTGTAACCATCTTTCCTCCCAATTTACAGATGTAGACAGGCTTTTCATTCATTTGCTGAGTGCTTGAATTCATTTTAGGAAAGATGAAGCAGCAAGCTGAGAGGATGCTAATCGGTATTGAAAACAAGGGAAATCAGGGCAAACCAGTCTGCTCTGGTCTGCTCTTGTTTATTGTTAAAAATGCTGCTTTAACCAAAATGTGCTTTTGTGTGTACAATTCTGTGGGCCTGCAGTGACTGGCAGGCAGAGTTTTGTGAATTAACCAGTGCCTGGCTCACAGAAAGAATCCTGGAGCTGCTGCCAGTCCTGCCCTGTGCTCCCCTGAGCCCTCACCTGCTGCAGGTCAGACCTGTGGGACCAGACCACGCTGACAGAGAGCGTGGGGAGACTCTCAGCAGCGCCTGCCCTTAGTACTAGTTACTGCATTTTTCAAAACTTGGGGTGAACAGGATAAAATTAGACTGCAGTAGCACAAAGAGCCTGGAAATTCATGGAATTCCCTGTGATTTCAGACATAGTTAGAGCTTTGGGAAATAAAATTGTCTCTGTTTTTCCTATGGAAATACTCGCTTCCAGTTTTATGTTTTGTGTTTTCCTAGTGCTTGAAGTGTGTTACAATGTGAAATCACAGGAAGGCTGGCATTGCACTGGAGTAGTTGTGGGCATAGTTGGAGGAGTCTGACTGCCCAAACCATTTATATCTAGATTGGTTTAAAACTATCAGATGTAATAAAAACTATTAATCCTTTATAAACTTGTGGCCATGTAAGTGGTTGTTGTGGTGGGGTGCCCATCCCTGGAAGTGTTCAAGGAATGACTGGATGTGGCACTCAGTGCTCTGGGCTGTGCCAAGGTGGGGATCAGTCACAGGTTGGACTCAGCCATCTCAGAGGTCTCTTCCACCATTAATGATCTGTGCTTCTGTGATTCTCATATGCTTTAAAGACAGAAGACTTCTGTTATGTGGGTTTTGGTTTAGGCTTCCCATTTGCAGTTCATGAGGTGTGATGGCTGTCAGTTAAGTGCATAAAAACTGGAAGTCAGTAGTAATGTTCCATTCTCCCTTTAATTAAAAGGTATTGAATTAAAGCAAATATTCCCTCCTCCTGTTGATTTTTCTGCACAGTGTTTGAAATCTGTGCAGAATCAGAGACCTGCAAAGCAGTGGTTGCAGGTACCAGCTGTGGTTTTCCTCGTGGCTTGTTAGGGCATCCCTGGTAGTAATAGGGTGTGCTGTGAGGTGTTTGCTGTGCCCCCAGGGCTGTCCTGTGCTGGGAGGTGAGGCTGGGCTGGGCTCAGCTGCTGGGTGTGGGGCAGAACGGCCCAGGGGCTGGGGCTGAGCCGGGCTGGAGCCCTGCCTGCAGCACAAGGTGTGCTGGTCCATCTTCCTGGAGCAGAACCTGCTGTGGCTCTGGTGTGATGGCTCTCAGGGTATGTGCAGGGATCTGCCTGAGGTGCTGCTCTGCCCAAGGGCAGCAGGGAGATGCCCAGTGCCACAGGTGTGCCCTGGCTGCACTGAGGTGCTGCTCTGCCCAGGGGCAGCAGGGAGATGCCCAGTGCCACAGNCCCAGTGCCACAGGTGTGCCCTGGCTGCACTGAGGTGCTGCTCTGCCCAGGGGCAGCAGGGAGATGCCCAGTGCCACAGGTGTGCCCTGGCTGCATGGGGAGCTGCTCAAAGTGTCCAGGTGAGCCATGGCCCTTCCTCACCTGGCACAGTGTTTGTGTTGGCAGGATGGGGAAATACAGGATTGGTCACAGCACCGACTTCCAGTTCACTTTCTGACAATGCTTTATCTTTAGAGCATCGTATTTAGAAACTTGTGAAAGTTTTGAAACTTGAGAAGGCTGGGCTGTGAGGCTCTTTTCAGGGATAGTGCCCCTTTAGCAGGTGTGTGTTCATAGAGGGAGGAAGGTGCCTGTTGATTTCGAGAGATTTGTGTCTGGTTGTGACAGTGCTGGTACTGAGGAGGGCTGCTGCTGTGGGGATTTTCTGTCACCAGTACGTGTGTGTGTTATGTTCTGCTGAAAAGTTCCAAGAGATTGTTTGGAAGGGTGAACTGAGGTGGATTTTGGGTCTGTTAAGGATAGCAGTAGGGATTTTTTCCTAGATATTGTGTGTTTCTCCAGACTATTAAGTACCAACTAACTAGAGTTGATTTAACTTTGTGTTCATTAATTACAAGTGATAAAGCAAAATCCATGGCTCAGTGTCGTTTTTCTCAACAGCCTGAGTGCACAGCTTAGAGACACTCAGGCCTGTCAGTGGTCGTGGTTCCAAACCAACGTCCATCTTCGTATAACAAAAGATTGGACCTTCTTGCATCAGACCAGAGAATCAAAAGTCAATGAAAGTAAAATTTCAGCTTTCTCCCACCCCCAATGTTTAGATTAATGGATATTTGTAGAGAAACAAAATAGATTCTCTCTAGTTGCTCAGCGCTGTTGCTGCATTCTGTGAGGGGAAATAAAATGTTCCAGCATGTCAGAGTGCACAAAGAAAAGAGCTGAGAAATAAAAAAACCCAAAATAACAGTGCTAATATTTCCTTTTTGTATAGTTTCCTTTTTTAAATGATAGTATAAAAAGCAGTTTTACTTCTAGGTGACCTTGTTGTAGTGGCTGTTGTGGCAGGAAGCTCCAGAAGCGTGTAATGTGATGTTTCTCTGGCATGGGAGCACACAGAACTAGATCTATGACACAGTTTCTTTGAGAAGCTCTTCTCAAGTGTTTTAGCACTCAGTGGTATTGAGCTTTGCTGCTGCTGTCAGCACAGAGACTTGAAAATTCAAATAAAAAGTACTAGCAAACTAGTGAAATTTTAAATTAAATGTATCTATCATCCTCCAATGACTTCCAGAAATGTATTGTAGAAATAACATCTGACAGTGAAAACAAAGCTTGAGTCATAAATGCTGTTTATTCTGCTTTTGCAGGGGTAAGGGAGCACACTGGAGCGCCTCACGCTGCTGTGAAGCCTGCAGCCCAAGCTGCTCGGAGTCACAGCTGCCCGTGGGCATCAGCTGGGCTGCCCATGGGTGTTTGCTGTGGGTGCTGCAGGCAGAGTCTCAGCCCTCACCTTGGAGGTGCCCATTTGGGGCTGCTGCTCCAGGCTCTTTGGTGTGATCTGGAGTGCCAGGAGCACCTTTCTCCTTCATTGACAGTCAGCCATTCTCTTAGGAAAGACCCAGCCCATGTCCATAGGGCTCCTAGTCCATGGTACAGAAGAACTGAGCTTGAACCCACACCGAAGCTCAGCACATGCAGAGAGGGAGTCACCCATGGCATCAGAGCAGGACGGTGTGTCAGGGCCCGGTTCCCTCCCAGGGGAGGCTGGCTCAGGCACGCTGCATTCACAGCTGCTGGACAAAGGTGCTGCAGGCTGGGGCTCTGCAGTGCCATTCATCTTGCACTTCCATTCTGGGCATCTGGACCTTCCCCAGCAGAAGGTGGTGCCAGGGGGCAGTGGGGAGGGTGCCCTTCCAGAGCCCCCGGCCTGGCAGGGGCCTCCCTAGGCACTTTGCAGCTGTAAAGCTGATTGTAATTCCTTGCAATCCTTCTTTTACCTACTCTGAAATTCTCTCTCTCTCTGATAATCTTTTCTAATGCACAAATATTACACATGGCCTTTCCATTGAGCTATTGCTGTCTTTCAGAATATACCTTTGTTCACAATTCTGGTCCAAATTGGTTAAAACTTTTAGTGGCAATTCAAGCTCCTATGGATAGGGAATTCCAAGGTCACACTTTCAAATACAAATGGCATAAATGTTCCTATATTAGTTTGCTTTTAAAAAAATATAAATCCTGAGTAAAGGGATTGTTTTTGAAGAGTGGCGGCTGGGAGCAGGCAGGGGGAGTGGGTGTGTGCCTGGGAAGTGACTTGTGTGTGACCCCTGAAGAATTTGGGTAGAGAGGAAACAAAGTACCCAGTGTTCACACAGCAGCAGGAGCATCTCAGGCCGTGCGGTGGCTCTGAATCTTCTCTTTCTGGGCAAAGATGGATTTCAGGTCTAGCTGTTACCACTGGCTGTTGGGCAGGGACAGGTAACGTGTGGCTCACAGGTGCTGCCATTCAGCACCGGGCTGTTTGTGGGGGACCCCAGAGGTCCCACGGCCACGGGGGCTGCGGGGCCAGCGCCGGCTCCTCCTTGGCCAGTCCTGCCCTGGGACAGAGCAGGGCACCCGCATGGAGCAGCTGCTGCCTTCCAGCTCACCTGCTCTGGGACCTCCTGGGGTTTCCCTCCCCTCACGTCCCAAGGTGCATTTTCTTCTCGGAAGGTTTTTGGTCTTTATTAAGCCCATTTTTAAAATAAAGACTCTTTTCTTATAATTCTGTCTTATATTTTTCTGCTCCTTTTGATTGCTTTGACATCCAGGTTGTAGAAAATTTATCACAAAATATTCTCAGTTTCAGTTGAGAAAAAGGAACAGGTGAGCTTAGGTGTTTTGCTTTATAGATAACAAATGGAAAGATGAATGTAGAGAAGATGAAATAATGTGTTTGCTGTTATCTCTTGTTGAATGTTTTTCAAGGTGGCTTCTGGTGTGTCACAAGTTTTTAACCCATCTTTAAAGCTGTCAATTTCAGTGTGAAAAAGCTCATAGCAGTTCTCTCTTGTAGCTTCCAATCAAGGCTTGCCAGCAGAATACCCACACCAAAGTCAGCACGGAGCACAACAAGGAATGTCTCATCAACATTTCCAAGTACAAGTTTTCCCTGGTCATCAGTGGTCTCACCAATATATTAAAAAATGTTAATAACATGGTAAGTTTTCTAATTTTGCATTGTTTGGTGATTTTTTAAAAATAGTTCTTTATTTCTGTTGTAAAATCTGCAGAGAATTACTTGAAATTTAGTCAGATTGTAGCTTGCCTTTTACACATACTTATTTTCTGTTCTGGAGTTCACCAGCAGCATCCATCAGAGCCATGTGCCACAGAAAGGGCATTGGGATTTTGGGGCAGGGAAGGGATTTAAAACTTGAGCTATTTGAATTTTCCAGGCTGCTTAGGTCTTTCACTGTGTGTCTGTGTATATATAAAATAGCTGTATTTTTTAACAACCAGATGAGTTTCAGTCAGAACCTTTGCCATGAGAAAGGTTTAGTTCATTGAGTTCTGGATCAGTGTAATTTGGGATCATTTGGAATCTCCCCAGACAGGCAACAGAACTGGCCAGGCTCTGGCAGTACTTTCTTTATGATTTTAGAGACATTATTTGGAGTGAGCCCTTGGCTGTCAGTTGTACAGGGATGTGCATCTGCTGGAACTGCAGAGGACTGATAAAATGAGAAAATAGGTTGCCCTGCTGCTAGGGATTTTAGGCTGCTTAAAGCTACCTGTAATCCCTTTGGAGAGAGAATTTATTTTAATTAAACTCTACAGGCATGAGGGAGCATGTTGATGTGCAAGGGGATTGGCTGATAAATGAGAAAACTGTACAGTTTAAAGAAGTTTCTCTATGTGATACACAGAGTTTGAGAGGAAAGACCTAGCTGAAAGTGTCAATTAAAAGGTTTGCCCTGAGGAGCAAGTCTGAATGTTTGTCACATGTGGTGGTGTGAGCTTCTGTGGGAATCAGCAATAACTGGGGAGGGTTTCTGTGGCTGGAACAGACCAGGCCAAGAGACACTCAGTCATAGCACTCAGAAAGAGTGTCAGCTGAAACCTGGGCTGAGGTGAGCCATCCCTGCCCTGGGGTAAGGAAACTTCTCTGGGTGCTCTGACAGGTGCTCTTTCTGTGGTTTTGGTTGAGTCTTTCCTGCTTTATTTTGCTGTTTGAATGTTGCTGGAGGCAGTGCCTGTTGTTGGCACAGGGCTGGTGCAGGCTGGAGCACCCCAGGGAGCCCTGCCTGTGTCTGCACTGGGGCATCCTGTACAGAGCTGCCAAGGAGCCAGCACTGATGGATACCTGAACAGCTTCTGGAAGGTGCCCCCACACCCGTGAGCAGCCAGTGGGCCTGGGGGCGGTGAGGGGCTGCAGGGCACCTCCACTCTTCCTTTGCAGGGGCTGGTGGTTCCTTATTGCTTTTGGCATTGCAGACTGGACAAAGATATTTCTTTAGTGATAAGGTTTTACTTCCTATTTTAATTTGACTTTTGCTGGCTTTATGTCTAAACTCCAAACCAGAGCAATAATGGAGCCATAATTTACTGTGCCACTTTGCTGCTTGCTTTTTATTACATCACAAGTCAAAGATCTGTGTCTCAGATGAATCCATTCTTCTTCTAGAGAATATTTGGAGAAACTGCTGAAAAGAATTTATATCTATCTCAGCTGATTATCTTGGATACACTGGAAAAATGTCTGGCAGGGGTGAGTAGGCTTGCTTAAGTAATTCTAACTTGGAATCCAATGGGTTGGAGAATACAGGTCAAATGCTTGTGTATCTGTTATTACTGGTACTAAAAACTCATCAGATTTAGAGCAAAATAGGATTAATGCAATTTAGAAACACTAAAACTTCCTATAAATGCAAGTAGTTGATGTAACTGATGCATTAACGATTTGGAGGGTGCTTTACATTGCCTAAAATTAATGGTCTTTTTTCCTGTTAAAAGTAACAGAGGATTCAGCGCAAGTTTTTCATTTTGTGCTACTTAGTTCTCTGCATACAGGGCTGAGATTTTTTTTAATGTCTTAAAACTTTCATTTGTTGAAGTAATTTTCCATGTGCTTTTATACAGAGCAGAACCTTTGCTGCCACGACTCTAGAGATGATTTCTGCAGGTGTTTCCTAGATTACATTAGTTAACCATGGCCAAATCTCCGCTGGGAGTGCAGGCCTGAGCTTTCCAGTCAGAGCTGCTGCGAGGCAGTTTGCTGGTCCCTTTGGGAGGAGAGTGCTGCTGCTTGTACAGCTTACTGTGCCGAGCCAAACTTCGCTGAGAGTGAGATGTGCAGTGGTTTATTCTTTTAACAAGAACAGATTTTATTTTTAAGCTGTATTTGGTTTCCAGCTTTTACAGCTGAGGAAAGCACCCCTTTTTGGCACTTTTTGTCTTTGATGTGTTGAGTCAAAAGAACAGTTTGAGTCAAAGAACCAGAATTTTATCTTCAGGATTTGGTTATTTTTAAATATTTCTACTATGCATAATATTTGAAACAGTGGTTTTCCTTATAGATCATCATATTTAAATAGCCTAAAATTGTGCTGAATCTTTCTTGCTCTGTCACTTGAAATGAGAGCAGTTTGAGGCAGAATATGTTAAACCAGAGTGAGCCAAAGCTCTGTACAAAGCATGTTGTGTTCTGTGGTATCTTCAGATGGATTTCTTGCTCAATGTTTCATCAAGTTCTCATGGCAACAGGACGCAGGTCAACTAAGTGGGAGTCTCTGAAACTTCCCAATTCCCTATGGAAAACTCATTGGTAGAATTTTAGAAAGCTTTAGTGCTGACCCTTCTGTTAAAACTTGCTCTTAGTAGAGCAAAGTTTCACTTTGAATTCTTCTGTAAATAGTTTCCTTATGTCTCACACTGTGCAAACTGGCAAAAATTAGATTTTTCTTTTGCAGGGAAATTAAGCCATTTTTGACTCATATAGAGCAATTCCCAGAAGGAACGAGGGAGAAGCACCTCTTTTTGGTTCATTTTTAATATAAAATACTCACTGTTAAAATATGGCCAGCAAGCACTTACCCCAAGGGAAGTGAGGGTGGGCTTTGCTCTTTAGCCCTCAGGGGGAGCCGAGGCAGGCAGTGCTGTCCTGACCCTCACCCAGAGCAGCAGGGCACGTCAGTCAGGGCAAAGCATGGATTGCTGCAGAACCTGGTTTGATGTTTGCCTGGGGCCC